TGTCATATCGTCGATGATTGCTAAGTGCGATTGTGAGTAGCAATACTCTTCAATTAGTATCAATTTTTGTAAATATGTGAGTATTGTATTTCACAATTGTGAAAATTGGGATTGATTGCTCTAAGCCTTTTTACATGATGTGGTTATGAGTCATTAATCTTTAAAAGTGAGGTTTTGAGTAACTTATTTAAATATGTGAATTTGAGTACCGGCGCTAAAGTTGCATACAACTTTTAGTTGGGAGGTAATTATATTTGAACTGTTGTTTTTGTTCGTTGCACTATATTTTAATTGCAATGAATGTCCTCAATTTATGCTCTTTATGTTCTTAAATTTTTCTCGTTATATTTTTATCATTAAGTTTTAATTAATAAGTACATCTTGTCCCTGATTATAGTTTTTGTTTAATAATTTGTTAGCTACTTTATAATGAGGGGCAAATATTTTATCAAAATTTTTTATTTGTTTTGTTGTTTTCTTTTTAAAAAATTTAAGTGGAAAATAATTCTTTTTGTATCCTTTTAATCAATTATTTAGACATATACCATCATGANAAAATTGGGATTGATTTCTCTAAGCGTTTTTTACATGATGTGGTTATGCATTAATCTTTAAAAGTGAGGTTTTCGGTAACTTATTTAAATATGTGAATTTGAGTATCGGCGCTGAAGTTTCATACAACTTTTAGTTGAGAGGTAATTATATTTGAACTATTGTTTTTGTTCGTTGCACTATATTTTAATTGCAATGAATGTCCTCAATTATGCTCATTATGTCCTTTAACTTTTTCTCTTTATATTTTTATCAGTAACATTTAATTAATAAGTACATCTTGTCCCTAATTATAGTTTTTGTTTAATAATTTGTTAGCTACTTTATCATGAGGGGCAAATATTTTATCAAAATATTTTATTTGTTTTGTTGTTTTCTTTTTAAAAAATTTAAGGGGTAAATAATTCTTTTTGTAAACTTTTAATTGATTATTTAGACATATACCACCATGAACGATAAGATACGCTAGCTAATAGAAGATTAAGGATGAGAATGCAACGAAAAAATTTGAGAAAATAAATACAATAATAAGCAAAAATTGAAGACCTTTATTGCAATAAAAATATTTTGAAAAAAAAAATAGTGTGAATATAATTATTTTCAGCTGAATTTGATAGAAGCATTTGATGACAAGATGATTTTGCCCTCCCATAATCCGTCTTAATTACGAACATGGGAATCATTGAAATATTTCTTTGATTGAAAGAGTATGATTCATGTCATACATTACTCCATTGGACTCCAATGGAACTGAAAATTAAGATATTTTGATTTTAAATATTTTTCCTTCAAAATTTGTGAGAGAAAAGTAAATATATTTTCATTATCATTTTTCTACTCATTTTCAACTACACATTTTTCAAAAAAATAATATTTTTCATCACATCAATGATTTTTCTTTCTTTTTGAACCACACATACTCCATCAATTTACTATTTCAAAATACATCCTTCCAAAATAATGTGGCTCAAACACACCCTTATTGTATCTTTTCTTATTTAATATTACATAGCCCGCTATAAGAGGTATTAAACAGTTTTCAAATCAATCACTTTAAAAAATGCTAATATTATTATTAAAATTTTGAAGTTCATCTTAAAATTTGGATAAAGTTTTCATCTATCTTCCAACTGAGATTTTACGCCTTAACAAAAATAAGCTTAGCTTTTAAGGAACTTAAAACTAAGTTAAAAAGTAGAAATTAGGTTTTCATTAAATAACCATTTTTTCGAACATAATTGTCACGATCATGTGTTTATAATTACACATAATTAATTACTTTTCTAAGTTTTATTAAATGAAATTGAAAAACTAACAACTCAGGATTATTTTAGGAAATCTCCGTTGATGAGAAAGTAGTAAAAATGCAAAAGTTATTTAATGTGTTTGAGCCACATTATTTTGGAAAAAAAAAATTTTGGAATAGTAGATTGATGGAGAATGTGTGATTGAAAAAATATTATTTTATTAAAAATGTGTAATTGAAAATGAGTAGAAGAATGAGAATGAAAATTTTAATATGGCTCATACGGAGATTAATGTTAGTATAGAAATAAAACGAATTATAATGCAAAATTACAAGGGAAATTTAGGGTTGAATTTCTTAACATTTTAAGTAATGAGGTTATGAATACTTAATATTTTTTAAAAAAGCTCGATATCTTTAATCTATTTAAATATATAAACAAGTCTTCACATATACGAAACTGTTAGTGTAAACATCATGCATGACGTTCACTTAAAATTGCAAAGAAATGTTGAAGTGGTTGATTCCAGAAAAAATCGTATGCGACGCAATGGCGAGTCCTCCTAACCCATATCAATTTTCTAAAAAATAAAATAAAATTATAAGTAAACAACGTTAATGTGTGAATTTTATTTTTTAACATATTAGCCCGATATTTAAAAAAAAAAAAAAAGTCTGATCCTGAATTCATCCTTAGTGCGATGGTTGTGTGCGGGGACGGTGATGCAGGTGTGTATTTTGGTCATTCTATGGTCAAAGCCGCAGCAAGTGGAGACATTGCACTTGTGTCCTTCAATTGATACATAATTAAGGTTCTCTTACCACATAAATAATGAGAAGTTTTTGTCCTACTCACTTGGGACTGAAGATTAATTTTCTTAAATACGTTAATGTTGTTTTCAGTTTTGAAAAATAATCATTCTCAATCTCCTAAATCAACTGTTGAATAAAAAAGTTCTGTATAGAGTCATCAGATTAATAAACATTGTAGCTAAAGGGCAGTTACTACATTGTACGATATATAAGAATGCAGATCAACTATAATATAATGTGAACTCAACATTTTCTCAAGAAAAATGTAAAATATGATAGACCATTGAGTTGGATATGGATAAAAATTATCCTAAAATTTAATTCTATTCAATACTGTGTAAGTCGTACAAAGCATGCCTTAGATGTAGATTCTGTAACTTTCAATCCCGACAAGACACGAACAATGAGAAAGCATCATAGCTCGATGATCGTGTTCATAGACGTGTTTACAGATTAAACTATAAGATGTAGTTTGAACAGGAGGCAATTGTTCACAGTCCAAGCCAGAATTTAGGGAATGATGTGAAAACATGTAAAG